TTTAATATAAAAGTCTCTCGATATAATGAAGATTTTTGATTTTAAATATAAACTTTACTATATTAAGAGTTTTCGATCTATATTAAGAGTTTTCGATATAGTAAATATCTCGATATAGTGAAGAAAATCCTTCAGCCCAACAACTTCACTATAACGAGAGTATTGTCGCGAAATAACGCGCAGAGGTGAAATTACAAATTTTGGCCTAAATTAAGCTTAATTTGGGGCATTATTCTAAATAACGTTATTTCGCGACAATACGGTATAGATTTACCAAATAAATATAAATTTATCATGAATAACGTAAATACCCCCAGAAAATAAATTACTTATCGATATATGCAAAATAAAGTACATGAATAATATAACCTAAAAACGTTCATTTAATTGTTGAATTTTTGAATTTCATAGTTGTTTTAAAATTCTAAATCTTATCTGACAACTCACTAACAATCATTAATATATACTAGTTCGTAAATTTCGAACCAAACCCGAACCAAACTCAGACTTGACTAAAAGTTTGAAACATCAAAGTTTGAATTTTGATCGAAAATCAAACCAGACTCAATTAAAGTTGGATCAAGTCCGGTTCGTGAGAGCACTCAGGTTCCAAAATTTTTTGGGGGTTTAGCAGCATCGAGAAATTGGGACGCTATATCGACACAGCAAACATATGATCTTATATGCACAATACAGCCAGCATTATTATTGACACAGCACTGCATGACCAGCATTACGGGGCAGAATTAAATCACGTGTATGCTGTGTCAGTATAGCGTCACCGAGAATTCAAATGCGTATCATAATTCAGGCCACATCACATGACTCGAATAAAATTTCGGCGATTATTTAGCAACACAGTTTTGGTTGGCGTACTGTACGTACAATCAATATATTCATTTCCGCGTTGTTCTTAGGACAATATTTATCAATCCATTTTTATCAGAGAACGTGTCATTATATCGAACATGATTGAATATTCTCTTTTTACCAGTCTATCTCGAAACACTTGGACATTCTTTCAATAGCGAGATTAAGGGTGTTCTTAAGTACCTCGTTCAATAGAATTGAAATTAAATAAATTAACCAAGGAAGTTATCACTTCGATGGATGAAAACGATCTGAAGTTGTCCTTATTGATCACAATGATTTGAGCAACATCCCGATCACTATTGATGGAGCTGTTTGAGAACACCCTAAATAAACGAAAGAATATGAATCTAAGGAGTGGCAATAATATTAGATACCCATATGGTTTCGGAGATAAATATCTCAAAGACAGCAAAAAAAGGACGCGACGTTAATTGGCTTATTGGTAAACCTATAATGGAGTTTTGTTGTCACGTGATCCATCTAGTAGCCCGCTGTCATAAGAGTATTAAAATCCTTCAAGCGCACGCTACGATAAAAATTTTAATAATTGATCAGGATGGTGGTTAGAATTGATTAAGATGTTTGTGATCACATAGAATGACTGCAATAGCGATAGGTAATGCAACGTGAATATAAATTCGTTTCTACCAAAATGGAGTACTAGTATAAATGGTAGACATTAATTGGATAAATACACAATTTGGTCCTTCCCGCAAAACTTTTCTGATACACCAAGTTGCTTATCACCTGATCACACATGTATCTTTATAAAGACGGTTTTATTAATTTGTTATAGCGAATCTATGTGCTCAAATAATGTAATCAATTAAAATTAATTCCAATTCTCATTATTAGGCAAAATTAAAAGTCAGCCCAGATTTAACGACACTGCCATGTGGCAGAATAACAATGAATTCATACAATTATACTAGAGAGAGTAAATTTAAACTATAATTAGGAGAGTTGGAAGTTCGTCCTCTATAAGAGATAATATCGTCCAAAATAGCCGTCAGTTTCAAGTGTGTTTTTTCTTTTTTGAAAAAAACTGCACTTCAACATACCACCGAAGAAAAGACCGTAGTTCATAATATTATAGTGATTTAATTTACTGTTTCATTAAACCAACTTTTCATAACGTATCATTTTTTTTAGTTTTTCTTAGAATTGCCGAGGATAGCTAATAAACTCGCCCAAACTACCTCAGGATTTTGAGATGCATCTACACCAGACCAGATATTTTTTTGTTTATAATACTCTACCACGGGAGCAGTTTGCTTATGATAAGTCGCTAAACGTTTTTTTAAGGTTTCAGCATTGTCATCTCCACGTTGAATTAATGGTTCGCCAGTTGCATCATCTTTACCGGGAACTTTTGGTGGACTTTAAAAAATTAGTCAATAATAAGAAATTTCTACATTTAACTATAACCTTTATACTTACTTGAAAATTTTATGATACGTTCTACCACTGGATGGATGAATCAAACGACCAGTGACACGTGAAACCAATAAATTATCATCAATTACTAATTCAACAGCATGGTCGAGTTTTTTTTTATCTTTTTCAAGCATGGCATCAAGTTTTTCTGCTTGGGGTACTGTACGAGGAAATCCATCTAGAATAAAACTGTCATAGTAAATGACGTGATAGCAACAAACACAAAGACCAGTTTGGTGAAACCTCGATCAAACAATAAATCAAGTATAAATATATGTATAAGTAAAATAAATTTTAACGAACCCTTGTTTACACTCTGGATTATTTTGTAATTCATTTTCGATCATTCCTACCATTATTTCGTCAGACACCAGACCTCCGGTATCCATGATTTTTTTAGCTTCCAAACCAAGTTTTGTTTTTGCAGCTACTTGCGATCGTAACATATCGCCAGTAGCTAAATGACAAACGCAAAACTTCTCTTTGATCTTTGGAGATTGAGTTCCTTTACCTGTTTGAAAGAAATAATCATAATAAATCAGTAAAAAATTATAAATTCGAAAAAGTTTATTTTCCCTCTGACAATAATAATAATAAATTAGGAAAAGGTAATTTATTTTCCTTCTGACAATAATAATAACAATAACTGTAGTAATCCGTAGTAATAGTAATAGTAATAAGAATAATAATGATAATAATAGTAATAATAATCATAGTATACGTATAGTAACAACAATAACACAATAATAGTAATAATGATAATAAATAAATCATAATCATTAATGATAATAATAATAATAACGCAAAAAAATTCTTACCGGCACCAGGTGGCCCCATAAGTACCATTCTTATCCCAGAAGCCTGGTCCTTTTTCGATTTATTAAAAATTCCCTTTACGTCCGTCTCGAATTTTTCGATACGCTCCTGGACAGTTTTTAAAAAGTATCGTAAATGGAGTAATTCTTCTTTGACATTATCACTAGTAACGGAAGCATTGATATCTAGTTTCGATGCCATTTTTATAACAACTTTTCAGGAATTTGGGAGGGAATGAATTAACGAGTATATATATATATTATTCACTTTTATATTTTCATATGAAAAAATTTTTTTAATCTCGATGCCACTTGCTAATCCATCAGGTACACATACGTGTATAAATAACAACATGGGGATCGTTGTTAGAGAATCATGTGCAGATTATCCTCGATATGATATATCACATGATATTCAAGATACTACACCATTGCAATATATCGTAATAACATGATCTTTATGCAACCAACTGATCGCAATTAATAGCGATGGAAATGACATATGCTTATCATAAACGTATATCACAGATGTTTTTAATAAGATACATGCTTTTAATTAATATCAGAGTCTTAATATGAATTTGTCGTGTTGTATATATTTGCAAGTTCAACTTGCAAACCTATAATACCGATTATACATAAATTATCAAATAAAACAAACGAAAAAAAAAACATACAGAGAACAAATTATCTATTAAATTATTTATCATCCGTCTGGAATTCGGGTTAAACATTAGATCTATAAAATCTATTTAACCAAACTCTTCAGTCGCGATTCTAATAGTACATTTAATTGTAGTAAATCAGGACAATAACTTATGCACCAAAAAAAAAAAAAAAAAGCATACCCAATTCTTTTGAATATTCGTCTAATTCGTTAGCAACTTTTTCCAAAAAATCGACCTGTTCACATACTTCATCAATTTGTTGAATATATGGTTCGAAGCTAGTATCTAATAAATTGCAAGTCTGATTGTTATAAATTACATAACCTTAGTCAAATTATATAAATTTAAAGGGCATACAGATTCTTTGAAAGTTGGCCATCTCTACAACCAAATTTTGTGCCATTTTAGACATTTCCTGATACCGTTCTCGCGTAACTTTGTTCATTGTTTCTAAAAGTTTGTAATCTTCAGTTGTAGCTATAAATTTTAACTAAAAATAAATCAATCGAGCCTCAGAATATTGATGCTGGAAGAAAAGGCACCAAATATTATCAAAATAGACTAGTTAGTTAAATAAGGTACCCAAGATCTCTCCCTTTAAATAATCAGCAACCTTAAAAAACATTTCTTCTGTCAGTTTGTTTATATCTTGCTGATTATTTTTACTTGGTCCCTCATTTATTGGAGGGGGAGACTGACGTCCCATTCCTATCTCTGATTGAGCTGAAATGTGAGTATGCTCTGTTGAAGTTGGTGGTGACTCTTTTTCTGAAGACATTTTATATGTATAGTAGAAAGATAGCCTGCACTATACGGCTGGGGCACGTGCTAACTACTATAACCTTGATATTTAAATTGTTATCATATATCGCTAGTGTCACTCTAAATACGTAAAATGAACTCAAAAACAAACGGCAGCCGGATAAGGCGATAGCTAACTAAAGATGCATGAAAATAACTTATGGCATAGCCGTAAATGGGTAGTTACCCAATTTTTATATGCCGTAAGATGGCAGCTACCCTTAACCTGAGAAATATCTTCACTAACTCCAGGAATTTTTTCGATTTTCACGTTACATCTGATCCTGCACCCTGATTGGTCAATCAGAAGTTAGCACCATACATTTAAGGTCGAAGCCATTTTTTTTTGTCCTGACTTTTCGAGATAATCAAAGCATCTAAAACAATAAAAAACTCTAACAAATCGCGAAAAAAAATCTATGAAAGGTAAAGACTGTTTGATATTATTATTATGAATGGCATACTAATTATAACCCAGTGTTCTTTTTTTAAATCTCGACTTTTGTGAAGGTTTCGACAAGTTTCGCCCTTCCTCATTTCCGATTTTAAATTTCATTTTACACCAGAAGGATTTGGGGTTCCGTCAGGG